ATATATATATATATATATATATATATGCTTTAATTTCATATTCAAATTAACAACAAATATTAAAGTTAAACCAAGTTATATGCATTTGATAGAAAGAAAGTGATAGCAGTTGGTGGAATAATTTAGTTTCTACTTTCTCACTTGTTTCATCTCTTAAATATTAATAATCTATAATTAGTTTATATTTTGCAGCTTCATTTAAAGTTTAGGAGTGTTTCTAAAACTGGTTTGATGTTTTTTAAATTAAATTTTGTCAGGAAATTTACTCAATTAATTACGTTTTACTTTGTATATCTAGAGATCTACTTGAGAATCGGAATAATGTACTGCTCTAGGTAATATCGGAAAGTGTTGATCAATTTTAAAAAAATCGAAATTCACCATTTTTCTAAAAATATCATGTGATGCCATCTAACTACATAACAATATATTTTTCAATAATTAACTTTTAGGTCCAAATCAAGGATTTATTTTAAGCCTCTATCCCTTAATTACCTTTGTGTTAGGTGTTATTTGAGCATATCCAAGAGTTAGTACTATGCATAAAGAAATGTTTTTGTAAGGATATATAACATAGGAAATTAAGAAAGGCAATAATTCATAAAATTAGATATATTGAGAAATTTATCGGTATGTGATAAATTTTAATGAGACATAAAATATATGTTTGAGCTTTAGAGTTATTCTCATGCTGACATGCTTATAAAAGAAAAAAGAGTAAAATGAGCTTTTACATAGATTATTTTTTTAAAAAAAAACTCATGAGAGAGTTGTTATAAATTAATTTGTTCATAATTTTTTTTTCTTATTCTTTTTCTCTTAAAATGTTGTTATTGGGAAGTTGCCCAAAATATTTTTATAATATTCTTTAAGACATTAAAAAATATAATTTTCGAAAAATTAAAAAGTAATAGGATAAAGTTTTGATTGCAACTTAACTTTATTAATTATGAAATATATAGTATATGGACACAAGATGAGTTTAAACCATTATTTTGAAATATAAAGTGTACGGATACAATATAGGTTTCAACTGTTATTATTTATACTCAATTTTAAAAAAAAGTTATTATCTATACTCTACCAAATTAATGATGAATTCTCACTTAAAATCAATATGTGTTTAAACATATAAATAAAGAAGACAAGAATTTAATGAGGTTCAGCGTACAAATACCTACATACACGACTACACTAGGAAGTATATTTAGTTTTGGTGTATCTCTCAAGATTTACAGAAGGTTCTTATATAGCTAAATGGGGAACAACATCTCACAGTATTAAGCTATGTAAATTAAGCTCCCCAATACTAACAATTCTCCCACTTGGAACTTGATTTACATTATCCCCTAACGTAGTTGTCTTCATCATCAATTACTCTTGAAGGTCAGTTGACGCAAAACAACAAATAAGTTGAGGCTTTGTATTGCCTCAACTGGCCTTAAAAAATAATTGATGATGAAGACAACTACACTAGGGGATAATGTAAATCAAACTTACAAGTGAGAGAATTGTTATTATTGTGGATTTTAATTTAGTCTCACATCGCTTAATACTGTGTGATCTTGTCTCCTTTATAGTTGTAGAAAATTCAACCGCAAACTTCTCTCTAGTTCAAGTTTACCTTTACATAACAAACCTTTCTTATAGTTATACTTTTCTTCCTTCATCATGTTATATAGTTTTTTCTAGAGTTTTGTATAAATATCTTATCTCATTAATAACACATATCTCCTTTCTCTTGTTCTCTTTCTCTTTTCTTTTCTCTCTCTTGTTTTTTCTAAACTTCGATACAAAATTAGAATTCTTCCTTGTTTCAAACATTGACATATTTTGATTATCAAATTTTAAAAATGAATGAATATAATCTTCTTAATTCAGTAACATTATTTTCTTTTACGTTTTAAGCTTCTATACTGACATTTGGTTTGAAATGTGTCTAATAATGTAACTAGCTCAAAAACCAAAATGAAACATTGTTTAACATGAAAAAAAACCATTATTACATAGTGATTTTTACACAATAAAAATATATCATTATTATTATAATATGTTTTAATAAACTTCTTTCTAAAAGGCTTTAAACAGTGAAAATAAAAAAAGAAAAAAATCTCATAAATTAAAATTAATTAATATATAAATTAATTCAATTTTAAGTCAATTTCTTTATAAATTAATTTCTATATAGTAGTAAAAACGTAGAACCAGATATTTTAAATAAATTTTATTTAAAGTTTATTTAAACTTTCAATAATTCTTTATGGACTATCAAAATAATATTTTATGAATGCAACTTCAAAGTTCTATTAAAATGTATGGAATGCTCCTTAATATCTTAGAACATTTATAAAATATAAGTCAAAAGTTTATTTTTTATAACCCAACAACAAATAATAAATTGAATCATTTATACATAAATAAGTAAAAAGAAAAAAAGATAATATGATTTTTGCCCTTGCTATAAATTTGAAACTAAAGTAATAATTTTGAAAAAGAAAATGTAAGTGTGAACACATTGTTTGATCTTATTATTAAAAAATAGATTAGAAAATGAAAAACAGACAAGAAAGATATAAATCCCATCAAACAGTAAAAGAGGAACACCAAGAAATTGAAGTTTGGAAGATAGCACAATCTACTTTTTTGACTTAAGCTTGATTTATACAAACCGTGTTTAGCAACAGTGTCTAAATCATCATCAAATTTAAACATTATCATAGCAGTAAAAGAAAGATTTCTCTTCTTTCTCTCTCTTAAAATTAATAATAAAAAAGAAATCAAATTTAACTGTTTTGTTTGATGTTGTTTTGGCACATTCAACTGTTTTGTTGCTTTGAATCTTTGTAATAACTTTTAGATGATCTATTTTTACTGTTTCATTCAAATATTATTATAATTAACATCTTATTTTGTTAAATTTAGAGTATATTTTTATTGTTATAACTTTCCTTCAAAGAAAAATAACTACAAATATAAAAAGAATTTGATTTGTTTGTACTATATTAAGAGTTTATACACTTTATGTAATATGATTAATTATCATATAATTGTTTTAAATGTTAAATATGTCAAGCAAATAATTCATATATTAAAAACATATTAAGTTTGTTTATAGTACTTTTTGTAAAATATTTAAGTCTATTTATTTAGCTTTTTTGTCAAAATGAATATTTTGAAAAAAATAATAATTAGCAAAATATTTAAATATAAATAAAAATAATTTGTGAATAAAATATTTTTAACTATTCATATTGTAATGCTATTAAGAAGCTAAAATAAATATTTTTCATAACTATAAAAGTTATTAATGATAAAATATCACATAGTTATTTGGTAGAAATTATATATGTTAACAGTGAACAAAATTGTTTAATAATTAAAAAGATTGAAAAATCAATACACAGATAAATTATAACAAAAATTAAAATTACAGATTTATAAAATTAAGAAGATTAAAAAGTATATTTATACCTAAAACAAAATAATTGGTATAGTTAATTTATTGATTTTTATTATATTTATGTTAACATTGAAAACAGTAATGTTCATGATTTTTATTGATAATGTAACTTCTTTATCAGTAAAACAATAAAACTCATAATTAATCTCCATAACTGTGTGTAATGTATCAAGATTGACCAGTCAAGACTCACAAATGAGGAGAGAGATTTAACGGCTGCATTTACATGAGTAACCAATCAAAACCTGCCACTTCAGCATACCGGCCGCATGTGATTCCTCTCCTCTCACGAAAAATTGACCAGCCGATAATTTAGAATCAAAATCAAACGGCAGAGAGACGTATCGAAAACGTAACGGGTTCCATCTCTCTATCCGTTCAACACGTCGCTCCACCGGTACAACCAGTTCCAGGTTACTTAACGGTGAACATGTTGGGGTCCCACCGCCGCTGCGTCCACGGTCACCGTCTTCTCTCGCGGCCGCCTACCGGACAATCCCAAAAAACAAAACAATTTTATTTTAAATCATAAAAGAATTCATAACAAACAAATAATAATGATAAAAAATTAGGAAGTAATAATTATTATTTAATTGTGCATTAAGCTATGATTTAAGGGAGATAAGGGGTTGTAGAGAGGGTCCTCTCTTTCAGATTTTGCTCCAAAATCAGAACAACCAAACCTTCCATCTGATTTGCAGAGAGTTTTCTCCAGGGACCAACCAGAGACAACCAAGGACACTGTAGAGAGAGAAAGTGGTTCTTTCTGTGAGTAACATGCAATAGATATATTATGTATATATATAGAGAGAGAAAAAGAGTTGAAGATTGTTGTTCAATTTGAAAATTGCCATCAAGTACCCTTTTTTTCTGTTCTTATTTTTGGTTGGTTTTGGTACCTATCCAACCCTGTAAGTTTCTAGCATTGTTTTTCTCTCTGCTTGCCTTTTTTTTTGTTCTCTTCTTCAAGTATTGCTCTCTGTGAATGAGTTCAACAGTGACTTGCTTTGCTGGTTTGGTTTTCTTCTGTTATTTAGAGATCTTTATTGAATTTCGGTTTTTCTAGTTGAATCATGAGGCGTAATGAATGATGGGTTGATTTAAAAATTTCAAACTTTTGTTGCTGCATTGGGATGTTGGATTCATTTCTGCATTTCGTGTGTTCAATTGAAGTTGACGTTATTTCTGGCGTTTTGCATCTTTGGGATCTGTCTATCACAGAAGGGGCATTTTTGTTTTTTCCACTAACCAAAGGTTTCATCTTTGTTATACCATGTCAAAAACAAAGGGAAATAAAAAAGTGGTTTTTGGGGATTTGTCTTGGTGATTGGTTGAACGATATTTCGATCTGAAGAAACTTGTGTGACGGGTGTTGATTAGATGGGCCTTGCTTGCTGTGATGGGTGTTTAAATTTGTGCAAAGAAGTAAAAGGGGCAAAAATTAGGAACTTGTGAATTGAATTGGATTTCATCAATTCTGTTTGAACAGGCTCTTGATTTTGCTGTGGTGGATTGAAGAGTGAAGGGCGTTCCTTTCTCTGTGGTGGAGACATGTTGGACGGTCGTTCGTGCGTTGTTCCGAGGTTGTTTTCCAGCACTTGCCAGGCAGAGAACGACTGGTCTTACATGAAGTGCTTGCTGGAGTTGGACATCAAGAATGGAAAGCGCCCTATGGAGATTGATGATGTTGAGGATGAGCCCCAGCAGCCGAGGAAGTGTACCAGGAAGTTGGATTCTTACAATAGAGTTGAAATGGCTCGAATTTCCCTTCAAAGGCAATCTATTGAGGCCAATGATTCCGTTGTTTCCCAGATGGATCAGGAGGCCACTGAGCCATTGAACGTTTGTGAAGTAGTTGTCGGAGAAGATGGAGCTTTGACCGACCGGCTATTTGGTGAGCAAGAACAGGAGGGTGATGGTGATTTGATGGATGTTGGTGACCATCAATCCGATGAACAGCAGCAGGCTAAGCCTGGGGATTTATCAGATTTTGGTGCCAGGCTATCTGAATATCGGTTGGAGGATGATGAGAATCTAATGAATTCAAGTGAACAGCAATCTGAGCAGCAACAGCAGCAGCATGGTGGGGATTCTTCAGACTCTGGTTCTCTCTTGCCACGCATGAACCGTGATAGCTCAATAGCCTGTCTCAGCCGGTGTTCAAGGTCAGACTACGGTTCTCTAGCCTCGTTGACTAGGAGCTTCCGGAACATAATCCGAAGTGGTGAACTCTATCAATGGAGGAGACTAAATGGTATTATGGAGCACTGGATTTATTTTTCCTGCGCCCTCCTGGAATGGGAGGCCTATGATCCAATCCGTCAGAGGTGGATGCATTTGCCAAGGATGGCTTCTAATGAATGCTTTATGTGTTCAGACAAGGAATCTTTAGCTGTAGGAACTGAGCTACTTGTGTTTGGGAGGGAGCTAAGATCTCATGTGATTTACAGATACAGTCTGTTGACAAACTCATGGACATCTGGAATGAGGATGAATGCTCCAAGATGCTTGTTTGGCTCAGCAAGCCTTGGAGAGATTGCAATATTAGCTGGTGGGTGTGATTCAGAGGGACACATCCTGGACTCTGCTGAATTATACAATTCTGAGACTCAAACATGGGAAACACTGCCAAGTATGAAGAAACCAAGGAAGATGTGTTCTGGGGTGTTTATGGATGGAAAGTTTTTTGTTATAGGGGGGATTGGGGGGAGTGATTCTAAGGTCCTAACATGTGGAGAGGAGTACAATATTCAGAGCAGGACATGGACAGAGATTCCTAACATGTCCCCAGGAAGAAGTAGTAGGGGTCCTGAGATGCCTGCAACAGCTGAGGCACCACCTCTGGTTGCAGTTGTAAATGATGAACTATATGCTGCTGATTACGCTGACATGGAGGTTAAGAAGTATGACAAGGAAGAAAAAGTGTGGATTACCATTGGGAGACTGCCAGAACGTGCAGTGTCGATGAATGGTTGGGGTCTTGCATTTAGGGCATGTGGAGATAAGCTTATTGTGATTGGTGGACCTAGGACTCATGGTGAGGGTTTTATTGAGCTCAATTCATGGGTGCCTAGTGCAGGGCCTCCACAGTGGGATCTACTTGCTAGGAAACGTTCTGGCAACTTTGTTTATAATTGTGCTGTGATGGGATGTTGAAGCATTGAATTTTCAAACATACAAATTTTGATGCTTCATGTCCAAGGAGTTGCACAAACATTGATTCGTCCATTGACACAGGATTCTTGCTAATTGGTACATTGCCCTCCCTTATTTCTTTCTATGATATTTTTCTTTGAAAGGTTGGGGATGATGGGGACAACATTCAGATATTACTCAAGATTAGCTGAAAAGTTTTATGGGGAGGAGCTATTCAGTCTTTTTTTTTTTCTTTTTTTTTATGTTTAAAATTTCAACCACTATTTTGTTACATTGAAATTGGCATCTTCCCCCATTTCCATTGACATGTGATTTTTCGAACTTTGGTATCATGTAGCAAAGGAATAGATTAAATAATTTAAGTTCTACACAAACTTAGGTTACTGGTGTTGTTTGTTTAAGTGCTTCTGAGAACACAACTAGATACTTGATTTTCTTGATCATAAATTTCCTAGCTTGAAGGAATGAATAACTTTCTGAGAGTTTTTTTTTTTTTTTCTTTTTCTTTCTTGGATTCTGTATTGATTCAATTTTGCACATTTGAATTCATGGACCTTGTATTTTGAGCTCTTTCTAGTCTGGACTTCGGTATCATATATAGAATTTTCTGTCTCCAATTTTTTTATATGGACCTATGCATTATGGCACTAAAAATGATGAAAGTTTTCTTTTTTAAGACTGCAACCTTCATGAAAAAATCAGTTTGCGTCTGCTGTCAAAATAAGTAACAGTGATTAATGGTTTGTTGTTTTAAAAATCGTTATTGGAGCTATGGTTAAGAGCAAAATGTTTCAAAGTTGAAACTATAAATGAATGATCTTTATTATTAGACATTGATGGAATATTGTACTGCATCATTAAGCCATTATTATTACTTCCCATCAAACAAGTTTTTTGTTGTCTTGGCAATTGCATGAACCCTTATTTTTCAAGTGTGTCTTAAACCTGTTGAAATTGAAATATGAGTACATCTGGTATTTCTTCAACCTGTTGTAGTTATTGGATGTTTCTAATTGTAAGTATATGACAATGGTCCATGTTATAGTAGGAAACTCATCTTAGTCCTGTAACTGCAGAGTTGCTTTAAATATTTTTTGTTGGGTGGTTGCATCACCATTATTAGACATCAAAGTCCTTAAACAACTTTAGGTCCAATGTGAATAAACTCTGTTCCTGAAATAATTAATAAAAAGATAAAATAAAAAACAAGTACTTTTTTTACTGCTTAAGAGCATAAACTTTATCTTAAGTTATGGAATATACTTCATTATTTTGCATTCTTATGTCTTTTATAAGTGAATTTATCTCAACAGAACTTCCTCTTGGTAGAAATCAAGAACAGCAGTTTACTAAATGTGTGAAACAGAAGTAAATTCTGTTGCATATCAAGTTGCATAAAATAAGTGATATTTTCATTTTACAATTTGCCATTTGTTTTTTTTTTCTTTCTAATTTGCTCTTAAAAGTTAATATTAAAGCGTTCAGCCACCAAAATTACCTCACTTTTTATTTAATGTATTTATTCAAAGTGTAAAGCTATTTTAATAAAATTATTTTAAAAGACATATTTTCTTATGTACGTAGAATAATATTTTCAACATAAAAGTTCAACATTGATAGGAGAATATGGAAGAATAACCAAAAAAAAAAAAAAATCAGAATTGAAGAATAATTTATTCTAACAAGTCCTAGTAACATTTCATTGACGTTTGATAACAGAAATAGCAAGTGACTCGCTCCAACAAATCTAAGGGATCAATCAAGAATGAAAGCAAAGCAACATATGATCAAGATGATGTTTCAGTTAACACATGATGCTGTATTCATAAGCAGAAAAATATTTGTTATTATTAAACTTTGGAAGAATTATAGATAGATTTTTATTTTAAATAAAAACTTGTATCCAGAGGTATCTCACAAGTACAAGTGATGAGACTAATCTCCAAGAAAGTAGAATATCAATTAAGGAATTTTTTTACCAATAAATCCTACATAGTCAGGGAAAGTAGTTAGTATGAAAATAAAGCCCAATTAAATATTTCGTCAAAAATTAATGATTTTAAAAAAAAGGAGTAAAGTCTCCCCTTTTTCTTCCAACAAAAGAGGGAAAACATTTTGAAACAAAACAAAAATGTTCAGAAATTAAGATGAGTGGTCAATATCTTCTGTTGTCTTAAGTTATGGTCTGAAGAAAATTCAATTGCCAAAAAACAGCATAATGGGCCGAATCTACTGGTATCTCTTCTCATGAGATTTTGAAAGTCCTAAGTTGTTTTTTGTTGGGTCTGATATCTTTAAACTACTAAATTCCCTTATGTAAAGCTATCCCTATAAAACTCATTGATTGATGAAGAAAACAAGGTTATATACAAGCATAAATCATGTTTGTGGAACACAAATTTGAACATTTAAAAATGGTATAACTTTTTGTTTTCAGTTTTTGAAACTGAAAAGCATGCTTAATTGGACCATAGTAATTAAGTTTTTACTTCGTGTAACCCATATTGTTTGATGGATCGGGGTTCCATGTTATGCAACTCACTAATGCATGTTGAAAAGTTGGGCTTTAAGTATGGATTCAAGTTGTCTATCCCTTTAAAATACATTTTCAATAAAAAAAAGAGAAAATTATTACTTTGATGATTACAATTTATAAACATGAATAATATTTTCTAAAACTTTTCGTAAAAATGTCTGATGGGTTTTCAAATAAGGATATTTTTCAGACGATGAAATAGAAAGCTTAATAAAAGTTTTTAAGGAAGAAAAACAATAAAGTATAATTTTTATACTTGTTTACTATATTCAAGCTATTGTTTACTATATTCAAGCTATGTCAAGTTTTTCTTAAAGTTTGTATTTTCACTCTTCTCATTCTCTATTAATAGAGCATGTTTTCATTCATTTTTCTATTTCTTCATATTTTTGTTTGGTTGAAGAACATTAGACAATATATGCACTGAGGTAAAGTGGAGTTGATATTTTATAATCATTCTTGAACATACTCTCTCTTCATNATTAAGTTTTTACTTCGTGTAACCCATATTGTTTGATGGATCGGGGTTCCATGTTATGCAACTCACTAATGCATGTTGAAAAGTTGGGCTTTAAGTATGGATTCAAGTTGTCTATCCCTTTAAAATACATTTTCAATAAAAAAAAGAGAAAATTATTACTTTGATGATTACAATTTATAAACATGAATAATATTTTCTAAAACTTTTCGTAAAAATGTCTGATGGGTTTTCAAATAAGGATATTTTTCAGACGATGAAATAGAAAGCTTAATAAAAGTTTTTAAGGAAGAAAAACAATAAAGTATAATTTTTATACTTGTTTACTATATTCAAGCTATTGTTTACTATATTCAAGCTATGTCAAGTTTTTCTTAAAGTTTGTATTTTCACTCTTCTCATTCTCTATTAATAGAGCATGTTTTCATTCATTTTTCTATTTCTTCATATTTTTGTTTGGTTGAAGAACATTAGACAATATATGCACTGAGGTAAAGTGGAGTTGATATTTTATAATCATTCTTGAACATACTCTCTCTTCATTTCTCACCTTTTCTCTCTTCTTCTTTTTCATCAACTTTCTTCTCTTTAGTTGATCTTCTTTATATAGATTATCTTGTGAGATAATCGTTAGATACTAAGTTGATATCAAGATAGGCTTCATAGACTTTATCGGTAACTTGGTCAAACTCATATTTACGTTGTAGAGTAGCATAGTTTTTTTGTGTAAATAACTTGTATGATCTTTTTAGGCAAATTTTTTTGATGAAGGATTCTAAGAATGTTTTTTTTATCTCTTAATGCCTTTTTTACCTTTGTGTAGAACTTCTACATTGAGCTAGGTGCTATCATTTCATACATAGATAGATAAAGAGAGCAAAGTATGCAAGCACGAAAACACTTTTTTGTACAACATTAAATGTTTTATTCGTTAATGATCGTACAACTCGTTGCATGTTCAGAACATATTTTACGTCAACATCATTTAATTAATGCATCACTTATTATCAAGTTGACTTAAATGATACAGGTGATATATCGTTTAGCATCATTTTGAGCTAACATATTGCTTAATGGGATGATTATCGTTTATCCCGACATGCTATGTTCTATAATTATTTTATAACATCTAGAGCCTCTTTTTAGTCATTACACATGATTTACTTTGTGAGACGCTTGGTGATACAAGTAGCTTGAATTTAAATGCATAATCGTTTAGCGTATGCATTTCTTTATTGCATAAGATGCTATCTATTTGGTCAAAATTACTCTAATATTAATTATGTGTATTTTGTCCTAGTGACTTAGATTAACGATTTTATTTGTCAAGCATTTGTCTTTTGACATATCCAATTGTTTAAACACTTCTTTCTAT